AAATGCCTAAAGAGCTCTAAAGAATCATTCTAATATATATTTTATTCACAATTCTAATGCCTTTAAAAGATTTCATAATTTAAAATTTTAAAATACATATACTCACTTCAATTATATAGAATATTTCAAATTGGTGGAACTCTATACCTATTATTTGTAAAGTCAAATATTCTTAATTGTCAAAATCAAATTCCTGTTAACATATTAAAATAGAAGATATAACTCCCATACTAACTTAGAAGCATGATATTAACCTTATTTTAAATTATTTCATAGTATTAATTATTATTTATAATTATTCCATATAATATAAAATAAATAATGTTATAAAAATTTAATAATATAAAGATCTAATTCTACAGTACAAGAAAGATGATTTAATAAAAATTAAGAAATTCTACCATCATAGTTTACTTCTTTTACAATATCCAAATAAGTTAGATGTTTTTTCACTTAAATATTTCATAAATTCTTCACAATATTATAATTTTACATACAATAATTTTCAAAAAAATAAAAATAAAAATAAAAAAATACTCTAAAGATGTCATTTAATTCTCACATTAGTTAAAAAAGTATAATGCACATTAATATACTATAATCAAAGGACCTCAACCTTCAAAATAAAGCTTCAAAAATTCTTTATGTCAAGTATAGGCTTGATTCTACACCATTAAATCTTTACTATTAATTTAAGAAATCAACTAACTTATACTATTCAAACAATAAAGATATTATACATACTATTATAAAACTATATTTAATAATTGAGGCACTAAAAGTATACAAAGAACAAAAAAATAATAACAAGCAAAAGAATTAAAGTATATACAAATAAATGAAATAAAATGAAATAAGTAAAAAAATTAATCTTTATAAAATATATATATATATAATATTCTTTAAAAGTTTCTAATTCCAAAACCTCAAAGAATTTCAATTTGAAATCAAGCCCAACATGAATGCTATGCCAATATCTTCACATTTCATTTGACAAAATGTTCTAAATAAATTAAAGATTTAATATTAATAATGCAATTACCAATGTATAACAACATGACCAAACTCATACTTTAAATATTTTGTATATAAAAATAGAAATGAGATTCCTTATAATAAAATTATTAAATCTAATAATCTATGTAAAATTGGATGTAAAAATATTACATCATGATATTAAAGAATTCTTTATTTTAATTTTACTTCATCACATTCATAAGTCTGTTGGCTCATGATATAGCATAAACTTCTAAATATATTTCATTTAGATAGATTAATAAATACATAAGATTCTAATAAGTATAGTTTTTTACATAATTAATTATAAATTTGAATAACATCAATTACTATCTCTCATATTAATTAATACTAAGACAATCAATTGAAATTAAAAGAAGTATATTGATTAAATTACAGTACTAAATGTTAATAGTACAATGGAGTTGATTTACTATCAATTCACAACATAATCTCCCAATCTAAACCATGATCACACCAACCTTCAATTATTACTAAAAGCTTATCAATTTGTACCAAATTATAATAAATGCAATAAAAAAAATTCTAAACTAAACGATACAAACACTCTATGAACTATATAACATATATTTTACGGCGAATATGTAATATAATATAAATTAAGATATATTATACATATATTGTATCTTCAAACGATACAATATATGATGAATGTTCTACTATCTATATAGTACGCTGCATATAGATTCTGCATGATACTAAATACGAGGCAAGAAGTTGTAATTGAAATCCTCCATGTCTATGCACCTACTTAGAACCAACCTGATTGATTATTATTTATTTTGCGTAATACGTTTTTCATACTGCGGGTTGTGAAGAATCTTTGCACAGCTCAAGGTTGAGTGATTACAGAAAGTATCATGAAAAAAAGTTGCTTTAGATGGTCTAATTCTATAGAGAGGAGCATTTCATGATGCACTTGCTTTGTGCTCACTTGATTCATTCTCTGTTCTGTACCTACAGCTTCTTGACCTCAAGGCTGACGTATTTTAAATTATAAGGCTCTTACCAAGTTGTGTTGTGTATATCTCAAACCTCGTTAGTTTCGTTTGAAAGATAATTTAGGAATATGGACATGATTTCGTTGTTGAAAAAACTTTGGTTTTCGGATTTCAAGGAATGTAGAATAGAAACTTGTCCACACCTGAATTTGTCTTGATGGCAACGTGAGACCCAACCACTTTCCCCTTCCAAGATTTTATCCGCACATGGATGCGTTTGATCTTTCTCCGACTTTGTGAACTTTACATGTATCAATAGGAAATCAATCATAATTACCATCTCCAAGATGACTGCACACATTCAAACATACCACAAGCCTTGTCAGAAGTAGAAAACAGACTAGAATAGCAACACATAATATTCCCACTGAAAGCGGCCACCTTAACCAAATCCACCCAAAGCAAGTTTGGTAGTTTGAATTTCTTTCATTTCGAGTGTCGCCAAATGCAGACATACTCCCATGCTCAGAGCCACCAATCCCACCTGCAATATAACATATTATCCAGCGAAAGTGACACATATGCCAGTTGTCTTTCCAATATGAATTCTGGAAGTTTGTGGGTAGTGGAGCTTGATCACTTTATTAGAATCGGCTCTCTTAGATTTGCAGTGGTTCAAATTAGAGGGGATCGAGGTATTTTTTCCAATCCTAGCTGAGATTAGATGTAAGCTGTATGGACGACACAGCAAAACGTTAGGAGGTGGTAGGTTTACGTTGTCACAGTTCAAGGAAGCCGTAAATAGACGACAAAAGTTGACATGCATTACGCTATCATGGGAAAGTGTGCTGGTTCTTCTTCTCGATTCACTTCGAGCATGTCTTTGGTGCAGCGACTCTGGAGGCAAGAGTCGAGGTATGTCGTTTTCATCTGTGAATACCCTGGATAACGTTGTGACGCAGGTGTTGGAGTGCGAACAAGCTTCCAGATAAGGAGAGGAGCTGTCCAAAGAGTTATGAGGACATTTATGCCCGTCTACCTGCTCGGTGAAGATTGAACATCGATCTGCATGGACATGAGGATGTTCTGCCTCAAATGGAGTTATTACAGGATGCGCGAGAAGCACGCTATATGCTCGGTAAAGATTGAACATCGATCTGCATGGACATGAGGATGTTCTGCCTCAAATGGAGTTATTACAGGATGCGCGAGAAGCACGCTATACCGCCAGCTGCTGTAGTTATAATGGCCAATTCGCCTCCATCCACCAAGTCAACCCCAGCGGCTGAGTTGCTAAAGCTACCAAAGCAAGTGGTCTGCAGCATGAGATTTGTGAAATACAAGACCGTTGTGCAAATCATCGGCGTTTGTTCTAATCGGCTTGTTGCAGTTCCGAGACCCTCTGGACCATTTTATGGGTGGTCTAGACACCCCGTCAGCAATTCAACTTGTCCGTGATTTGACGCAGGGTTATGCGCAGGATTTGAATAAACGATTCCAGGGATTCCTCTCATTGCGCATGTGATCTTTGAGCTTGGTGATGTTGAAGCACAGTGTGAGGTATTGTGCTCTATTACACAACCCTCCGGCGGTTGTTGCGGATTCTAATGCAACTGCTTGAATATTTCTCCATCTCTGCTCCGATGCTGTGAGTGGAATTTGTACAGGATTAGGGCTGCAGTGTTTCCAGCAGGGGATGTTACTAGGTAGAAGCAGTAGATATGTTAGTGTAACATGCTTTGACTTTAGGAATCGGTAATATGCACATGAATGAGATTGGTGTTAGATTGCAAGATCATAGTGAATGCAAGAAAGATATTTGGTTGCTTTTGAGTAGAGAAGGTACACAATTGCAAGTGTATGGTAGAGTCCACAGGTGAAGTTGTGAATACAGAGACAATCCACAATGTACATAAGCTTTCAGACCCTATACTCCAAAACTCACACTTAGGAATAGTCAAAAAAATACCCGACAGAAATAACAAACAAAGTAGAAGCTTTATGGCCTTGCCATGAAGGCCTCAATTTTTATAATCTCAACCCTACTCCACTTCCTTGGCAACTCCTAGCTGCACAACGTCTCTCCAATTGTGCTAAGTCTTTGATCGTGGCAATGGACACCGTCCATCCCCAGCCGTTCCGAGCAAGCAGCGCACGTACACAGACGATAAGCTGGTTCTCGCTAGAATTTGGAGCTTCCCCGACGCCGGGCGCAAAAATCTAGAGCTACAGCAGAAATTGGGTTTGCGTCGTGTGTCGCTGCACCGCCCCCTCCGCCACTAGGATGCTCGCCGTACTTGTCAATGTACCCCAGCTCCGCCTATCCTTCCGCAGAAACACCGACTGTTATCCTACTGTGGGTTCTTGCTTATCTAGCATCGTTCAGTTTCGGGACCAAGTTTAGTACTCTTCTATGCTACCCTTGCTCATCACACGAACACTATTTGCAGCGTTCTGGAAGTAGGTTTGAGAAAAACCCGTTCGACTTTCCCTATTTGGCGAAGTTAACCATTGGATTGTGTAGCCTGGGAGAGACGGAGATGAAACCTGCCAGCATTTGCTAATGTCCATCATCGGTCGGTTACCCATCACATCACATTCCATGTTTATATTTAGTTCCCTAATAAATGATAACTTTTTCTCTGAAAATGAGCTTGATGAGGTGGTTTAACGTGTTGTGGCAGTTGCGTAGAAAATTGCTTAGTGATTCCGTTTTACAAATCAGCTATCTCTCACCTGTGCATGCGGCACCACAATGAACAGAGGATTTCGTACTCTCCATTATGAGATTGTAAAATATTCTATGAATACGTGAATGAATCAGTGGGCGAAGGACAAGGACAACTTCGAAGAGTTCAGAGATGTGCAACAATAGAGTCAAGATTTGAGACTGCAGTCTGCATGCTGATCAGAGGAAGCATGATTGTGAGGTGCGGGCAGTGTCAGATATCCAAGGTCAAAGCTCACCAAATTCCGTCATGGGAATCAGAGAACCAGGCCAGCAGAGGCGGGAATTGCGCATAGTGTGTCAATGAAGAAAATACATTATCAATTTCCTGGGCGGACGTCCGAAAAGAGGTCCGTGCCGAGATGGCAACCCACCTCTAAGCACCACAGCCAGCTGTACCCATTACAAGCTCGATCATACCAGCACGGATTGATCAATAGAAGCCCAACCAAGGGGACTAAAAGTCTTCCGCCTCACCTAATATACAACTCGAGGGCCGTGCCATGGGTAGCATGTCAAATCCTACAGTGACAGTGATCAGCCCAAAGAATGAAGATCATTATAATACCCGTCACCCTCCCCAATAATTTACTTCGAAGAGCGCCGGAAGTATGCTAAGAATGATAAACAATTTACACTCTCGTCAGAACTGGCACTCATAGGACAAGCACTACGGAGCACAATGCCACTAGAACAAGGGTTGTGACCATGGAGGTAACCATCCTTGGAGCAGCGTTCATGGGGAAACCCTCCGGCATCGAGCATTCTTCGCCGTTGAAGTAGATCTTCGCGGGGAAGTAATCGGCTTCGCGAATCCCTGGAGTAGTCTTCTTAGTGAAGGAGAAGACCGATTGGAGCTTTCCTGCCGATCGGTTAGTAGCTGCCATTAGGTAGTTGAGTCCCTCCAAGCCCCTCACAAGGATACTGGTGTTTGCCGTGGTGTCGTTCATGAGTGGCATTGCGGTGGCATTGAAGGAGTACGCCTTCTCAAATCCGGCGTAAGCGTTCGGCATCTCCACAATGGTGAACCAGTCCGGGTAAGTTGTATTAGACCAGTCGAAGAGCGTCATGCGCGAACTCCATCCCCCTGTGAAATTCGACACTACATGCCAGTTAATGGCCACGCCGCAGTAGTCCTGGCAAGGGAGTGGGTTCGGGGGAATCCTGTGGTTAAGTGCGGCCCAGGCAAGGATCTGCGCTGTCCGATTTTCGGGGTGAATTGTGAGAGCGCTGTAGGGAAGGAGCTGAGAGGAGGTTGTAGGGCTGCACACTGGCGTAGGATTCTTGGGGCAACCACAAGCGCAAGTACGACAAGGGACGATGGAATCGTTCGTGTATTTTGAAAATGAGACGCAGCACTTTGGAGGCGGCTTGATTGCGGTCTCATTGCACGTAACCTGCAAGGCCAACCAAATCACAACCACAAATTCAGCACATCCAGCAAACACCATTCTCAAAAGCGCAACTAGACGCAAGTTTGATTAGAGGCGATCGATTGCGAGAAAAGATCCTCACCTGCCAAGTTTTAAACGCAGCTGTGTCATGCATCAAGTAGGGATCGGGATAAACGGTCGGCTTTATCCGGCGGGGAACGCCACATTTGAATCTCCCATCGCCGAATCTCCAATTCCCGGGGGGTGTGATACTGTTTAGCTTATTGCTCTGAGGTGGAACCTTCATCACGTTCACCATGAAGGCTGACTTGGATCTCTCAGGGTCCAGAACAGCAGGCCAGATGCTGCCATTACGGCAGCAGTATTCGATACCACCGTTTTCAGTGTCATTTATTCTACCGAGGGGAAGATCGATGATCTCGGGACTCTTCGAGCAACTGAAAGCCTTATTAAGATCCATTTGCGTGTAGGTTTTCCCTGCAATTCCATTCAAGCAAACCTCGAGGTCTGCTGAGCGTGTTGTGGCACCTAACATCTTGGTGATAAACTCGTTCTCCACCCATGTCCAGGAGAGATTCCAATTTTCAATACGCGCGATTGGACTGTCATTGGAAATGGTCACCTACAAAAGTCCACTCCAATGAGGAAGTTACAGTAAGTTTGGTGGCACGGGATTTGCGTACAACTCAAATAGACAGTTGAATTCAAACCAGAGGGGATTACAAAAGACGTGCATCACTCACAAGTGCTAAGTAACTGCCTGGATATGCTTGTTTAACATCATAAGTGATGGTGAAATTGCCCTTTTCAGAAGGCAGATAAAATTCCTCATCGGTAAGAGTGACATTTCGATTGGGCTCCGAACAGCATGTGTGCATCGTAGTATCTGGACAGATGAATAAAAAGGTCATCTCAATGAGGAATAGGAGTAGTTGACAAAACCAAAACGAGCATACATACAAGGAGGCTTCCTTGGCTGCTACAAATCGAGAGGATGAAGGTTCTGGCACCAGTACTCTACTTACTGCCAAAAGTCTTTGCTATACTGCAGTTGTAGCCCTTCTGGGTAATGTTGATGTTCTTCGGCATGGAGAAAAGTTTTTTCCCAAACTCAGTACCCGTGATTGTGAAGGTTTTCTGAATCTGGCTTAATTCCCCAGCAGTTTCAATGGCATTTTTCAACACTCCTGCAGGAATTTGAGTCAAAACGGTGCCGTTGGAAACGTCGACGGGCATGGGGCGCCCGTCCTCCAGAAGCATGTCTTCAGCGCTAACAAGAATCTGGACAAATTAAGACCTGTCAGAGAAAGGCTACTGAAACAACTAAAATAGTCCTATAGTTCGTGATCTTAAATCCTGATTAAATCCTTAGGGTGTCCATTGCCTTATCCTATCGCCTGATTTGAACCTCTTACCTCGCCATTTGAAAAATTCATCCCGATCGCCCACCCCTCCACGGTGGAGTATCCCATGTTCGTTACCGTCACCTGGGCCTCAAACTTGTACGGTTGCAGCCATGGAGTTTCGTTGAGGTAAGGAAAAATCTTCTCCACTCTCGTATTCACATAAACGAGATCAACGCCATCGCAAGGAGGCCACAGAGGTGCAGGCTCCGGAGCGGGCGCAAGGTCCATCGGCGCTGGAGCTGGCGTCAAAGGAGCGGGCGCCGCGACAACCGGCGGTACCGCTCCCCTGCCTTGTCCTTCGACGGACACAAAAATGGCGAGGAGGGCGACAAGAAGTACCCAGACTGCTGCCTTGCACCCGCCCATGGCAATGAAGTGACAGCAACCAAGTGTACCTCTTTCGAATTGGCTCAATCGAAACTGTCTTTCCCACCGTCTAGTCTAACCACGATGCCTCGGCGAGACAATGTGTGCTCTGACTGCAACGAAATTCTCACGCTGCGAGACCTTGGGAAGACATTATCTTGTCGGACTGGACTCCTACTCTCCTCACATCAGACCCTAGATCACACATTACTCGTCTCCTGGGAAAGGAGAAGAGAGGAGAGGTAGAGATCGTTGCGGCTCGGAGGTATAATATCCTGTGGTGATAATGAAACTAAACTGCTGAATACGACCATGTGATCCACCACGCACCCTAAAACCTAGGCCCGACTCCACACTGTCTTGATGAAGAGCGTACCCTTTTCGAAGATGGTCTCACCCACCTTTCTAGCAGAGAGTCTTACCCGAGACCAGCACAATCGGCAGCTGGCTCCGACGATTGCGGCCACGAATGTAATCGAGGTATGATATAACTCTCCCAAATGAAAGAGAAGGTGCTCGTAGTTGGCTAGTAAGAAACTGCGGCTTGGGTGCAGCAGTCCAAGGCATCAATTACAAGCCTGGGTATTGTGCCAATTTCAAAAATAAATTCAAAAGAAAATCCCCTCGACGTGCGAGTTGATTCAGAGCAATCTACTCCATCAGATGATTGCCGGAACCTGAAAGGGATCTATCCAAGTGGCACAGAACTTCTGAGGACCAGATAGTCGTCGAAGTTGAATTGGTCATTTCGTGTGTGAGTTGCATTTCCAACAGTTCCTTATGCTTTTTCTAAATTCTCCCTGAAGACGCACATTTGTTGGACCTCATCGTCCAGGTTAACTTACAGCTCAGCTGTAGTGAACCTTCCCCCTCCCGCAACAACCCAAGCGACTCCCGCCCAAAATTCACACCGCGACACTTGGGTAAATACTCTAAAGAGGTGTCTTTATTGAGAATCCTCATGAAACCTAGCTGGGCTTTTAAATCATGGGCATGCAAGATTATTCCAAGACAAAAGAGAGTCCATCTTTGGGGGAGCACTAATCGATGGTATAGCAAAGAAATATAACACCTGGCTCTGAGACATCAGTCGATCAAGCGGGAGTCATGTGATGGAGTTGGATTTTTCAATGATTCTTCTTGCTTTTGACCTGAGGACAATGAATTGTTTCAAGAATAGTTGACTTGCCCATCTTCATCTCCTCTCATAACTTGCTCACACATGCTGCCAGGTTATTTTTGTTCTTGTGTGCCCTGGGTTTCCTGTTGTTTCACTGTAAAATATAAGTGAATTAGTCACACAAAGTAAACAGCACAAACTGACAATCTGGGTTTCCTTTATTTCTTCCCATTCGCCACACCACGAACATGCCTCCTTTACACTCCGGCGTTTTGTATCTCCCTGACCTTCTTTTTTAGATTTTTCTTTAACACAAATAATTCCCCTACCTTTCAGCTTCCCACAACCATCAATTTCATATCCTGAGCTTACATTTGTCCACGCCTAGATTGTTCGTCACCTCTCCAGAAAGAATGTAAGAAAAAATCAAAATATTAAATAAATAAAAAGGGAAGAGGAAATCCTCTTGGTCCTTGTTTCTCAAATCAAGAGTTTGGATAAAATTTCTCCTCGTGCTTCAAAGAATAATCCCACCAAGATTCTATTTAAAAAAAACTATATCGAGGTGCAGAATCCCGCTCCTTAAGGAAGACGCTACGACCATTTCGAACATTAAAAAACGCTAAATTTGCCTGATAGGCACGAATTAATACACACCAGTTCGGAAGCTGGAGAAATGTCTTGTCAAAAACAAGGTCCGAGACTTAACTTCCTCGAAAACAGAAGGCGCTTCACACCTTCAACCTAGAAACGCAATTTAATCATTTCTATATATATATATATATATATATATATATATATTTGAATAATATTAGCTCGAATTCAGAAAAGTTTTTCAACAACCCATTCCTGGAAGCAGGCTGCGGAAACCTTGCAAGGGGAATACTCCGAAGCCAGAAAAACTTTGAGCACATCGGGGCAGCAGTAATCGCGACGCATTAATAGATCCGTGGTCCCGCTTGAAATGTCGCTGGGCAAAAACCCAGCATTGACTTTAAGGAAGGTGGGAAAATATGGCATTCAAGTGAGAGCATTAAGTGGAGTCAGGGGGTCACAAGAAGTCCCTCACGTCCACGCCCGCGCTGCTCCGGAAGCAGACACCACGGGCATCCGTGAAGGGCTGCGGGAGGTGCGTTGGGGAGGGGCGACTTACTTCAGGGCTCAGGGTGAGATTTGCTCCGTTGCTTTTCCCCATGTTGCGAGCGTCTTATGATTTGCGAGTGCCAGCCTTGCAGCAAGCGAGGGATCCTGGATCTGTGCACTTGGGCACCCCCTCCCTCCCCCATTTGCCCCTCCCAGATAAGGTCCGCGTTGCCGCTCCGCTTCGGGAACTCCGCCCACCTCCACCTCCATGACGACGACTACGACGAACAGTGATAACGATGACGGTGCGTCGACGACGTTCACGCCTCTTGTCGTTCGTTCACTCATATTCTCGACCACTTTGTTGCTCCTTTTAATTGTTGGTAAAGTCTGCTTTTATTTAAATTTTATTTACATAAGGGCGACTTCCCACATGAGGGAATAGGTGTATACAGTCACATTGAAGACCATGTTAACGGCTTTTCATTGTTTGGTTGTATCGAATTTATTGAGTGTTGGCGTAACAGATCTACCTTTGTGTGGTTAGGCAAAGTGGAGGTGTTGTAATCTTTGGATTAGGTGAAATGAGTTCCTTGACATGCTATTATTTCATACATTTTTTTATTTTAATTTTTTTAAGTGATATTTTGTGCTCTGATGATACTTTTATCTTTTTTTTATCAAAGTGGGAAAAAAGGATGCCTTACCTAACTCAGGCTTGAATTAGAAGAAAAAAAAAAAAAAAAAAAAAAAAAAAAAGTATCAATGATTTGTCATAGAAGACAAAGTGATGTCAAGGGCTTATTTGCAAAAACAAATCTTCACTTTTTCTTTTCTCTTATATTGTAGTTATTGATATTGGATGTTTTTCAAAAGTATATTCATTTTTAGAACATTGTGGGCAGATAGACAAAACAAATAGAGAAATGCCAAAACAATGTAGTTAAGAGTTAGAAGATTTGTAAAACTTCATGCATTTTGAGCCAAAACCTCATGAACTTATAGATATATACTTAAAAATATTTTGATTCCCTGAAACTTTCACAACCTAATAATACTTGCTACACAATGAAAAAAAAAAACAAAATATATATATATATATATATATAAGTTAAAAGATTGTTTCTATACTTAGACATCTACTATGCAAAAAAAATCATATTTTAAAAATAACAAGTAACGAATAAAAATTCTTTGTAAACTTGTATTTTGGAATCAATCTAAATATTATCCATATTGATTTAGCAATTTTAATAATATGTTAGTTTAATATTATATTTTATATATCTTTATTAAAAAAACAATCATTTCCATGATAAGCATATAAATTAAATAATTATAATTTTATTACTGTTAAAAATAAAATAAACTTAAATAACTACTTTTAATTGTATTATTCAGTCTAAGTAATAGAATAATTATTATTTTATCAATTTAAAATAAAAGGCAGGATATTACTTTTCAATTCTTTTAATTGAAACTAATCTTATGCACTACTTTGTTTATTAGTTTATTAACTACTTCTATTCTCATTTTATAAATAAAATTAGTCATTACATTATTAAATCAACAAGAGTATTATTTCATGGGAATATTAAATCAATCCATGTAAATCTTAAATTAACCTACTTTTGGTCTTACCACCATTAAGCAATTGGAATTTGTAATCCACTCCCTCAATTGCTTGTACAATACCAAAATTTCCAATTCTTTGTGAGCAATTTCTAGTAGACCAATGATTTAATGTATTGCTAAGCATTACAACAATTGATATGCAATATTGATATGAGAAGTAAAGAGAAGCAATGCGTGGAGAGGTAAGTAGAGTAAAATAGGCATAAAATGTGAGCTACAAAGCAATAGAAGAATGGGTATGAGAGAAGCACATATTGGTGAAATTGTTTTTATAAGAGATCAAGAATTAACAACAATGACGAAGCAACAACATAACAATAGAGGGAGGGAGTGGAAGTAAGAATAAGAAGCTTGCAGTGGCAAGGTAGAAATCAACAACTAGCAAACAATAGATTGATTTAATATGTACACTTTTTTTAATGTGATTTATAAAGATATATATATATATATATATATATATAATTAAAGTTAAATATTTTTGTCTTATATTAGATAGCACCACTATCTAGAAATAATATCTATAAAAATAGTTAAGTTTTATTTAATAAAAGAAATGAAATTATGCATAGAAGCCAAATTTTATATAATTAATTTGTAATTAATGCATATGATGGAATTGCAAATTTAATTTCATTTAATTATTAAAATATTTTAAGTATAACACAAACAAGTAAAAATACTTATACCTAAGTCAAAATTGACATTTATAGAAGAAATGAAAAAACATCTTAGTTCATTATATAATAAAAATTATTATTATTTTATAATAATAAAAAATATGACATTATTATGGATTATATGAATCTATACAATATATAGTATATATTTTCTTACAACTTAAGGATCTAGTGTTGTTTATAATTTAAGATAACATGTATTAATTTGAAACCTTAAATAGTCATTTTAAACATTATATTTAATACAATTATTTAATTATTAAATATTAAATAAAACATAGAAAAAAATTGTATGAGAATCAACTATTTAATCTATAATAAAAAACAAACTCAAAATTAAACAGAAATAAATATTTATTTTTTTAAAATAATAAGTGATCTGTTTCATACCAACTATCTTAGAACTAAGATATCAATTATCAATAATTTAAAAATATAGTTGCAAACACTTTATCATATCAAAAGAAGCAACAATACTAAATATAGTATATTTTCTAATTTTATTTCTAACAACGCTATTAGATCATTGTTTGTGAGCTTTGCAATCTAATATATATTTCAAATTTATTCTAAGAATTGACTATATACATCTAGATATTAATTTCTTTTTTTGAAAGAAATTTATAAAAATATATAAAATTAATACTATTTAAAATTTAAAATAACATATTTTGATTAGTATTCATCTGATATTGTTGTCCTGATAGTTCATCATTCTTAAAATATTTTTGGATAATGGATTAAATTTTAATATCATTGCTGAAACAATACTTACTAAATTAAATAAGTTCCTCAACTTTAACACATCATAGTCTTAAATATTAAAAACGAATTTTTAATATTTAATTAATATATTAATTGATACTAAAATTCTGAATTAATAGTTTCTATACAACTTGATGTTTTTTCAAAGTATGATTCGTACTAGAATAAATATATCTCTTATACAAAATTACCACAATATGTTTTTAATATTTACATACACATATATACTAAAATAAA